GTTTCGTCCCTCCGATTGTGATGATATCGTCACCAATGATCACTGCGATGATGGTAATAATTTCCACATGTAATACAAATACTGTATACTGAAAATATGCAAACTTCACTAAGGCTATATTTTATGCATTTTACAACATTTCGCAACCAAATTTTGCAATTTTACCAATTTTAATAAGTTCTTTACGGAAATTTACTTATTTATAACTAATATCAACATTAATAACAGCATTAAGTTTTGAATTTATTTACAATTTATTGTTTACTATACATAAATAAGAACCCCCTTCTGCGGAATTGGACCCCCTAAAATTCACAAAAAGAAGTTTTGAAACGATTTGCAGTTGAATGTGCATGGAAATTTAGGCGTCAGTTTAATTTAAATTATGATAACTAATGGCATGACTCAACTATCTTGGAATTTGCTTAATGACGAAAACAAGTATTGAGATGCTAATTTTATAAAAGTTTAGCGTTGAATGGAATGCATCACTTTGTTATGGGTATGTTAAGCCAAAAATAATTTGAAATATATTTTCATTTTCCGTTTTTATTTGAGCAGTTAATTAAGAGTCAGAGCAGATAGCAATTCCAAGGAGTAAAATACTTGTGAAGGCTTCATGCGCTTCTCAGTTCTCGCACATTCCAAGATCATAGAAATAAACTCATGTAGCAGAAAAATTATAAATCTTAAACATTGACGGAATTCTCTAATCTAGAAATGTAAGATTTGATGATCTAAAAATCTTCGTACGGTTTTTAAAATAAATCAGATGAGATTTATGACGATTTAAAACGCTTTCAGTACAATATTCAAAATACGATACGTTGCAATGATAAAATACGCGAGGGGTCCAAATTCGCGAGGGGAGTCCAAATCCGCTAGCGAATAAAGACCCCCCACAGGTCCATATTCGCTAGCGGATTTGGACCGGGGGGTCCATTTTGAGGGGGGTCCAAATCTGCTGGGACACCGGTAAGCGAGATCTCGCCTCTTTCAAGCGAGATCTCGGCAACCGGGCCAGCCCGCTTGTCTATATAAACGCACGATAATTTTTACTATAAAAATAACTACACAGCGAGATCTCGCTTACCGGGCTGTCTCGCTAAGCTGGCCAGCCGGGCTTCCATATAAACAGGCCCTTACTAACAGAATTTTTAATATAACCGAAACAATCAGTCAAATCGTCTAAATGGTACTATTTTTTCAAAAAAAGTTGCAAGAATTATATGTGGCAATTAATTTAATTGACAATATATTAAGCACACTGGAATTGCGAACTACAAATATTTTTTTTATATTTTATTTTAATATTCATAAAAAGCCCCAGCAACTTACAGTAAGGCCCAATAGAGCGTCGTTTAACTGTCGCTTTGTGAATAGTGACAGAACATTCGAGAAATCTTTGACACAGTGAGATTTTGCAGTCAGCGAGAGGTGATGAGAATTGTTTACGAGAATTGATAAGATTTCCACTAAGGCCCCCGTACAGATGTGCAGCTCTCGTTTGTGTTGCATGCGTAAACAGAATATTTGTGGACTGTGGTTGCGCTGCTTATGTTAATAGGGATAATATACTCTTTTTTCAGTAAAGTAATTAGTAATTTGAGTAAATTGAGTAATTTTACTCACTATGGGTGTATTATTTTACTCAAGTTTTTGAAGTGAAATACTCGGGGGGTTTTTTAAGTGTATAAGCTGTGTTAGTACAGGAGGAAACCTAAACTAAACTAACTTTACGTATGCTGGATGGCCCTATCACTTCACTATTACTGTATTAGATGTAAACTCCCCTGAATGTCCAGTCACGCAGGTGTGTCCCTTATTGGTCCAGTGTCACCACAGAAGCAGGCTGATCAAACTAAATTATACTCACCTTATTATTATATTGGATAGCTCTATTAATCTAAACTGTTCTCTGTTGAAGTCAAGCAAGAGCAATTTCTCACGACTTTCCAAATATATTGATACTAATTTCATTAATAACATGAGCACTGATTAAGTTTTGAAATTTATTTACATTTTATTGTTCACTATACGTAAAAATTGTTTTATAACATGCAATATTATAAGTCACTATTGACTATTTGGCAGTCAAGTCATATCTTGCAGTGTCAATAATATTTTACAACAGCAGCATCATTAACTCTTGCTTCAGCCATGGCTGGGAACTCTGTCCATGTGTTTGTCTCGAAATTGTAACATTCAACAGAATTAAATTCGATAATGATATAATATTACATAATGATATAATATTACTAGATTACATTAATATTACTAAATTGTAACATTCAACAGAATTAAATTCGATAATGATATAATATTACACGATGATATAATATTACTAGATTACATCTTCTATTAACTGTGATTACATTGGTATCGAAGGACCTAGATACTGTTCCGAAATATCACTTACTCGAACCGTCCTGACCGCGTAGCTCAGTTGGCAGACGGCATTGGGCTAGTATTCCAAAGGTCGTAGGTTCGATTCCCACCGTGGCCGGGCATATTTTTCAAGCTCGCCCGGTGTGGATATACACTCAGAGTAACATCACAAATATCATATTCACCTGAGTACACAACACCAACACAGAAAAAAAAAATCAGAATTAAATTCAGTGAAAGTTTTGTCCTCACCTCCCATTGTGACAATATTATCACCAATGATCACTGCTGTGCAATAACATCGCTTCTTTGTCATCTCCGGCAGCATCCGGTGACTTCCTGTAGTAACATTATACAGTATGACTGAATTGAGAACGTTTGCTTTCTCGTCCTCACCGCCAAGGACGACTACATTGTCTTTCCACGTTACTGTTGCCATCGCGAATACAGGGTACGGAAGTTTCATGAGCTCTGTACAAGTATTGGTTGCTGGGTCAAACATGAGGACAGTGTCTGTTGCGTCTTTATTATAACATGCCGTCCTGCCACCAATAATGTAGACCTTGTCATTCACTATCTCAGCACCATGGTGACATATTGGCCGTGGCATCTTGGTGAGCAACTTTGATGTATAGGGAGGGGTGAGCTGGATTTCATGTATTTTATCATAGACACTGCCGTCAACCTCTCCTCCTATAACAAGGAGGCGATTGTGTAATACAACACATGCGTGATAAGCAGAAAGCATTGGTAATTTAAATTGAGATTTAACCCAATGTCCATCTTGCTGCGAGAGATTTAATTCTTGAACACTGTCCAGGTATTGCCGGTTAAAATACCCACCAGTCACAATTATGTGATCTTGATATATAACTGAACTTGCTCCACCTCTACATTCATTCATCTCTGACAGTGGCCGCCATGTTTTGTTTGCCACGTTGAACACTTCGACAGATTTACAACAAAGCCCTCCTGCAACGACAATCTCGGCTTGCAACTCCTGATCACTTCTTGCATGACTGGCTTCCGAACGTTGTGGCATTTTTCTTTCAATTCTCACAAGATTTGACATCATATTTTGCATCACTTTAAACCCTTCCTCTTGGGAGGCACAAAGTTTGTTCATTTGACGTTGCATATCAGCCATGGTGGCTTTCATTTCACGAATTTCTTTCCGTGCTGGGCATGTATGCTGCATAAAGTTCTTATACAGTACTATTTGGCCGCAGTAATCACAGTTGACTCGTCGAAAATCACAAACTTTATTTTCATGAATTTCTTTATCACGTCGACTTATTATTTCCTCACATTGATCGTTGGAACATGGCACTGGACTGTGAAACCACAAGTTGCTACGTGTTTGTCGAGTGAGCCAAGTTTGACAACATTGCGACAACCACGCTCGGAATTCTCGCATGAAATCTTCAAACTTGATAAGGTGTTTGCCAGAAACCTTTGAGGTCGGCCCAGTGTCTCTTCGGTCAAGGGATCTTGACATATTGGGCAATTTCG